TCAGCTGTCGGCTCAGCAGGCAGCACGATCGTGTTGCACTTATGATGGAACCGATCCTTATCGACAACGGTGGAAATCAGAGCCCCTATCGGGGTACATGAGGTAATCCTGCAACTTTCACACAGTCTCGCAGGCATAGGGCAGCAAACTTCACACGCCCTCATTCCGCAACCAACGCAAGGAACAAGAGGGAAACCAGGCTCAGGGATTCTGCTGCACTTCGTGCACCTGTCCCGTCCATCGTCTCCCCTCAAGGCTTCAGGGAGAAGACCACCATCTCCCTGCCTACCGGCACCATTCACACTATAGCCGAGGCTAAGACCCGGCCCAAGGTTACCACCGCTCGCAACACTTGAGGGGTAACCTGTGGCATTGCTAGACTGACTAACGCCAGCGCCAACCCCTTGGTGACTAACGCCACCTCCGTAGGCAGGACCATAGAAGCTGGAACCACACTGATTGTTCCCAATTCCATGAGTATCCGCAGCACTACCGTGGAACCCAGGCGCTCCACCAGGGTAACCCCCGGTAGGAGCCCCTCCACTCGGGCCTCCAGAAGGCCCAGCGGGATCTTGGCCTCCACCATAATGCCCAGGACCTGGCGGTGGAGCTGGGGCATGTCCATGCCCACCACTTCCGCTCCCACCTTGACCAGGTGGTCCGCCTTGCCCACCACCTCCCCCGGGAGGAGGAGGAGGGGGCGGTCCAGCTTGAGCGCGTTCATGCCGAATATTGCAGCGTGCACATCGCTCAAGGCCGTCATTTCCGAAGTAACTGTGATTCTCACAGACGTGAGTCCCACAATCCGTACAGAGATACATGGAGACCTCCTGAGCATTCTTGCGGCATGCCCAGCATTTCATCTTCAGGAACTGACAATTGCAACAGTCCCCGTCGTCACCACGGCAAAGCCCGCAGAACTCACGACTGCATGTCACACACGAGAATTCAGCATTCGGGTGCCTACGGTCGTTGGGATCATCGAGGGCACAAATCTTTGGCGCGTCTGGGCCATCACCGCCCGGACCCCCTCTTGCAGCCGGCGCTGAGGCCTGTCCACGATCCGAAGGAGCTCCAGCAGTCCCTCGCCTATCGCCGGGACTCTGGGTGTCGGCGCTGGCTCTACTCCCAGGAGTCCTCCACTCATCACCAGGACTCTGGATGTCGGCATGAACCCTATTATCCCCGCCACCTCCTGAATGACGACCTGGGTTCGGAGAGACGTTCCCGCTATCGCGGATTGGCCTATCAAAATTCGGAGAGACGCTCCCGCTATCGCGGATCGGCCTCTCCCCCCTCGGTTGTCGACTCCGGACCTCAGATCCCCTATCGGGGACGGCAGCAGGCCTCGGGCTCCTATTCCTACCCGCATCCCTATTGGGGGAAATAGAAACGTCCCCCCTTGCGCGCGCGCGGGGACCACCCCTTGCACGCTCCGGTGGCGAATGCGACCTGTCAGGCAACCCCCGAACCCTCCTGCTCCTGCTGTCGGACCTCTCCCTAACGGGATAGATGGGATGCCTGTCTGCGCGAGAAGGATCGACCCTATCGGGCACATTCGGCAAAACATGATCAGGCAAAACAACGCCTCCGCCTGGTCTCACCGGCAGGCCAGTACCCCGGCCGTCACCTTCCCCTGGTGTAGGCGTCGGTGACCTGATCCTATGTCCTTGCCCCGCAAATGCATGGTAACCAACATTCCGTCTTTCTCTGGGTTGTGGAGGAGCTTCATTAATCTGCTGGACACCCTGAATAATGCCAGCAGCCTCGTCAAATTGACCCTCCATCTCAAAGAGCTGGGACATGATTCTGTTGTTCGCGGCGCTAAGGTTACGCACGTTACCATCGATAGCGCTGACTCTCCGCATAACACCTTCAAGTGTACTCCGGAATGTGCCGAGCTCTCGCCTAACGGCAGGCTGCACTTGGTCACTGCTGGCAGGAAGATTACGGATCTGTCCTTGGATGCCATCAACGACCCGATTCACAACTGCCGATCTCGCTTCATACTGTTCAACATGTGACTTCACGGTTTCAAACCTCGAAATGATGTCGTCATGATCCCGACGTTGACGTTGAATTCCTCGAGCCAGATCCTGCATCTTCCGATTGATCTCGTCAACAGCCTCATGCCAGTCCTGCGGGGAATCATGCCCTGATGGTCTATCGACCTCCTGAGAACCCCTTCCACTCTGCAGTCTAGACACTCGATTAACAAGACGAGTGTGCTCTTCTTTGACCCCTTCAATAGATTCAGAGGCCCACTTGGCAAACGTCTCGTGATCAAGGAGAGCTTTCTCGATCTTCAGGTTTAACTCCCTGAAATTTGCATCGACTACACTGCCGCTGGCCCTATCGGACGGATGCGCGACAGGATTCGGGTTCCATACACCTGCCGGTGTCCGCATCCCAACGGTTTTCTCTACCGAGAACATCCGTTTCTCAAGCTTGTCCAAATCCTTAAGGATCTCGTCCTCAGAAGCAGCATGGCTTCTGCGGGCAGCCTCATTATTCTCCTGAATCATCAGGCGAAGCCGATCAGTCGATGCCTCATTGTCCCTGACAGATTCATGGACCTCGTGGGACAGTAGGTTAATCCTCTGCTCCACGACCTCGGCTTGCTCATCGATGGCTTGCCTCACAATGGCCTTGCTATCGGGAATAACTTCCCTTGCGAACCGTTGAACTATCATTCGCATCCTCCCGGCATCAGATTGAGTCGCAACCTCAGCTGCCAGTCGATCGACCTTGTCCTTCGTCTGTTGATTCTCGTCTCTCCATTCCCTTCGCATGGAACTCACTTGACCGTTCAGTAACCTGATCTGGTCAGCAAAAATATGGAAAGCTTTCGCAACTGAGCCAGAAACCTCACCTCTCTCGAGCATCTCCTGGATGTGCAAATCGAACACCTCCTTTGCCCTAGCGTCACCTGATTCACCGGAAGAATGAGACCTGAGTGCTGGAGGAGTCGATATCTCGATCCTCTCAGGAGCCCCACTAGCTCTAGCATATCTTCTGGGGTCATCCACAGGACTATCACCAACCCCAGATGGCCTGCTAGGGGTAGAACCCCTTCTACGGCTATCGCCGGAACGGGGATCAACATGGGACGCACGAGACTCGGGAGTAGAGTGAATGTGAACATCAGCAGGATCAGGCATCTCCTCATCCTGCGGAGTTGAGGCCATTGGTGAGGGGCTAGCCCTCCTCGCCTTCGACCTATCGGTCTCAATGGCCAGGGGTGACGGTCTCTTCGCAGAAGCACTACGTTCCCTGGCGGTCGAGCCCCATTGAGGTGTGAACTCGTTGCTAGACCTTAGCGTTTCAAGGTCACTGGTATCTCGCCCTAACGGGCTAGCGATCGACGGACGATCCTCGATTCCGAGTGCATCGGCAAGCCGGCCATCTCTTGCACCTCTCCCAACGACATCGGCAACCCGCTCAGTGACCCTCGGCGAACCAGTAACCCGGTTCGAGTTCACGTCTCTCTGATTTAACGGACCTCCAAACGTAATGTTGGGAAAAGGGGGAACATTCGGGGTATCACCAATCGCCGGGGGACCTACCGGTCCCTCACGGTCATGGATGGCCTCCAATCCCCGAAGAACTTCCCGACTGTCCCTGGCTCTCTCTCTCTCGCTTCGGGCATCCCTGTCAACGCGAAGGTCCCTGGCGGCTCCACGAGAGAGGCTCCTGGGCCTCGCAGCATCACGGATCCTAGCATTTCGTCGTGGTTGGTCCTCCTCCTCATCACGGCGATCCGCAAACGCGGCATACTCGTCATCATCATCGACCTCAAACTTGGCAGCGGCGGGACTAGTCCTTGCAGTCGCACGGCTGCCTGCATCTCGGCGCGAATGGCTCTCCTCCTCATCCGCAAAATTGTAACCTTCGCCATCATAAGACTCAGATTTGGCAGTATTAGGGTTGGGCCTACCGGCATCAGATCCCTGCTTTGAGCTACTGCCCCAACCTGCGGTTGATTTCAACAGATCATCGTATCCGAAGTCTGAGAACTTCCGCTCCTCGTGCTCATCAAACTGACCTGGATTCTGAGAACCAGTGGATCGGCCCGGGATACCTCCCGGAACCAGAACCATAGTCCCTGGTCCCTGCGGCCTACTCTCAAACTCATCCGAGACCTGCGACTCACCTGGAACAAGAGATCTCGGAGGTCGAATCGGCATGGCCTCCGGGTCATCCGAATGAGGGCGGGCCATGTCCATCGCCATGCTGGTGAAGTCAAAATGTCCACGCCTGTGACCTGATTCAGAGCCACTCCTACCGGAGTAAACCCTTCGTGTCTGCTCGTCATCAGTGGCCTGGCGGAAAATACGATCGTCTCCATCGTCGGCGTACCTGCCACGGCCCCTGGGTGTATCCCTACCGGGATCTTCACCCCTGCGGTCCTGACCTGTCGAACCTGCTTCGAAATCCTCGTAGTCATAGTCCGGTAGGTCCTCACCTGAGCGGAGGCCACCTAGGATGGCCTCCTCATCCACGACGCTCCTTCGAGATCGTGGGGTCGACATAGAGCTTGTAGTTGATGGTCTCAAGCGCGTAGGAAAGTCCTACGGCTGATAACCTGTGATTCGGGCACGAGCCTGTGCCCAGGCAATGGGTAAGTTGGGGTAAACAAGCCACAAAAGAAAGGTTCCCCAAAAGCAAACCAATCCCCGGTCCCAAAGATCAGGGTTTCCCACACACCAGAGAACAACAACCAAAAGGAAACAAACCAAACAAGAAAAGGGTTAACCCGCAACCTTGGTCGACAACAGGCCGCACGACTGGTCCCTACCAACCTGGCGGCGGCCCGAGGTCTCTTTCTCCCCCGAGATGCCGTCGGTCGACGCAGGGGTTCGGCGACGCCCATTCGAGGCGCGACGGAACCCAAAACTTGAGCCAAACATCACAGGTCAGTCACTACCGCGACATCCCTGTTGATGAAATGAATCATGGCTAATCACATTAAGGTTAGGTTGAAGGGAAACCGACTCCGCCTCCAGTGTAGATCGCGAAGGATGTGCAGCTCAGCTTCGAGTCGCAGAACTCCTTGCACTCGTTCAACTGCACCCTGGCGACTCGGCTTCCATTGACTTCCCATGAAGCGGCGACGCGGTTTTGCAATGTGTGACGCCGCCCGCCGAAAATAAGGGGCGCCGGCAAAACACAGCTACAACTATTAGGAATAATACGCATCGCAATCATGATAATCAGGATCGGAACAATAATCATCTTAACAACAACAATCAAAAAACAGGAACAATGAACTTATATAATTGTGATAACAAAAAGGTGATGATGATGATGATGATGATGATGATGATGATGATGATGATGATGATGAAGAAGAAGGCAACACAAATGATGACAATGATGATACTCATAAGAGTTACAAAACATGCCAAGCCATGAATCACCATGAAGTCTTCGTCTCTCAGGCTCTGGAAGAGCAGCAATCCCTTTCGATGAACTTGGGATGCCCTGTACCAGGCTCGAGGATGCGCCGCGCTTGTGGGTAATGGGGGTACCCCGTTTTAGTAGGTGTTTAAACGGAAACCAAAAGGAAAACTACTGATTTCTAGTCATTTGGGTTGCCCCACCATGAGAACAACTCTGTAAAGAGAAACGATATGAAAACGAAAAAATGCATTGGTCAGAAAAGTGGCTCAGAACCCAATAAATGTGCAGGAACAGCTGAAATCGCCCCATTCGAGTGTCTCTCAGTGCCAAACAGCAAACCCCTGCTGCCATGAAAATAGCAACTGTCCATAGCCCGTCAAACCCACATAAATCGTACTCAAAATAAAAGAACAGGTGCGCGGTTGAGATGCCGGATTCCAGTTGGTGGCACTTCTGCTTGACTGGGAATCCTTCATGCCACATCTGGGCCCTTAACTGAAATACAGGAACCTACCATCGTGGGATCCTGAGCCGCCAGTGCTGCCACACCTGGTTAGCAGGGCATGTGTGTGCGCGTGTGCGCGTGTGTGTGAGGATGGGGGGTGGACTAGGGGCGCATGACATGATTGTATAAGAAAAGTGCAAAGCAAGGTGTATTGACTGAGTAAACAGGTAGCTCGGAACCGCTCCCGTAGTGGGCGTAATAATACATTCGTGAGACAGCAGGAGTCAGCTTGCTTCCATGTGCTGTGACAAGACATGCCAAATAGCCTGGAAAGGCACATGGGGTGGAACCAATGTGGTAAATAAATAGTCACCTTACCCTTTGGTTTGGATTTGCAGCTTGAACCCCAAATGTATCTTGTTAGGGTCGAGTCTGGAAAGAAAAGACATGGCTCCACGCGCCTTGTGGTTCCTTTCAAGGGCATCTGCAATTGGCTGAGCACCGTAGGCTTAAAAACTCCTCTTAGCGGCTGATGCATCCCTTGCTAAAGGCTGTAAGCTTTTGGTGAGATCACAAAGGGTGCGGATTTATTTTGGGAATTTTTTTCGTTTTGTTTTGGGATTTTTTTTCGTTTTTCGTCCGGGCCAGCAAAATGTCGTATTTTACAGCATGTTCTCGCGAAATTGACGCATTTTACACTAGCTCGTCAACATCCCCAGCATCGTTTTCAACATCCCCCGCATGTCCGACCAACATCCCTAGCATCACCAACAAATCGTGGGTAACAAAATCCAAAAATGTAGCTGGCGGGTTGACGGGGTCAAAACAATGATGCTTCAAACAGGAGGGCATTTCAATCCCAGCAAAAAAAAAACAAAAAAACCATTAAGAAAAACAGAGCGGGGTAGTGATGATTCGAACAGGGGTGCAATTAAATCTCTGCAAAAAGTCTAAAAAGTAGCGGGGGGGTTGGAAGAATTGATGATTCAATTAGGGGTGCAATTAATTAAATCTCTGTAGAAAATCTAAAACGTAGCGGGGGGGTTGGGGGGGGGGCGGCAGCCCCCCCCATGATGTCGGAAGAAGTGGTGATTCAAGTAGGGCAAGAAAGGGTGTGATAGAATTTAAAAGGCAGCGGGAGGGTTGGCGGGGGTGGCTTCCCCTATGATGTTCGAAGAAATGCATACATACAGACATACACGGACTACACAGATTACCTAAAATGTCGTATTTTGCAGCATTTTCTCGCGAAATTGGATGCTCGAAAAAGTGATGATTTGAATAGGGGTGCAATTAAATCTCTGCAAAAAGTCTAAAAAGTAGCCGGGGGGTTGGGGGGGCGGCAGCCCCCCCCCTGATGCTCGAAGAATTGATGATTCAACTAGGGGTGCAATTAATTAAATCTCTGTCGAAAATCTAAACGTAGCGGGGGGGGTTGGGGGGGGCGGCAGCCCCCCCATGAGGTCGGAAGAAGTGGTGATTCAAGTAGGGGTGCAATGATTCAAGAAAGGGTGTGATAGAATTTACAAGGCAGCGGGAGGGTTGGCGGGGGTGGCTTCCCCTATGATGTTCGAAGAAATGCATACATACAGACATACACGGACTACACAGATTACCTAAAATGTCGTATTTTGCAGCATTTTCTCGCGAAATTGGATGCTCGAAAAAGTGATGATTCAAACAGGGGTGCAATTCAATCTCTGCCGGGCCAGTAAAGTGTCGTATTTTACAGCATGTTCTCGCGAAATATACCCCGCATGTCCCACCAACATCCCTAGCATCACCCACAAATCGTGTGACGGGGTCAAAGAAATGATGATTCAAGTAGGAGGGCATGTCAATCCCAGAAGTGATGATTTGAATAGGGGTGCAATTAAATCTCTGCAAAAAGTCTAAAAAGTAGCGGGGGGGTTGGGGGGGGCGGCAGCCCCCCCCATGATGGTTGAAGAATTGATGATTCAACTAGGGGTGCAACCCCCCCATGATGTTCGAAGAATTGATGATTCAACTAGGGGTGCAACTAATTAAATCTCTGCAGAAAATCTAAAACGTAGCGGGGGGGTTGGGGGGGGCGGCAGCCCCCCCCATGATGTCGGAAAAACGCCACCTGCCGAAGAGGAACTGGGAATGCAGAGGATGCGAAAAGCCAAAAAGCCACCAAAAGCCGCATAAACCAGCAAAAAGCCGAAAAGCCTAGAAGCCCAGAAGCCGAGAAGCCAAGAAGCCGAAAAGCCAAGAAGCCAAGAAGCCAAGAAGCCAAGAAGCCAAGAAGCCCAGAAGCCGAGAAGCCGAGAAGCCGAGAAGCCAAGAAGCCGAAAAGCCAAGAAGCCAAGAAGCCGAGAAGCCAAGAAGCCAAGAAGCCAAGAAGCCAAGAAGCCAAGAAGCCAAGAAGCCAAGAAGCCAAAAGCGAAAAAAATTCCCAAAAAAAAACGAAAAAAAAAAATCCTAAAATAAATACCCCTCCGATCACAAATCCAACTTTGAACTCCAAGCAGCTGAGTCTGCGGAATTCTGTGCGGAACCGCCGAGTTCCGAGAGCCACCCTGCCCCACCAATTCAGCTGGAGTGCGTCAAGGACCGAAGTAAGCCGCGACTGCATTGGAGGCAAACGCAATATGCATATCAGCTGTTCTAATCCTCCGTTTGCTTGAGTCCCCTGGGAAAAATAAAAATACTTCCAGTAGTCATACATTCCCTATAAAACCAACAGGGGAAAATACCAAATGTTCTTAACCAAACGGAAGTACTTGTGGGTGACTTGCTCCTTTCGTAAAGCGAAGCACTCGCCTCTTCTGAATGGCGGGCCGGATCTGCTTGGCATACTTGTCCTGGCAAAGCAGCGCACGCACACACGCAAGCGAGCAAGCTACATGCAGCATCCTCAAAGAGCTTGTGGCTGATAGCATGGAAAGCACAAGGAAGATACAACTTATCGAGGTCGTACACACCAACCACGATATCAAGCGAACAACCAACCTGATCTCTCGTCGCTGTTGTCTCCCGCTCCGCAGGCGCGCTTGCGCTTCATTCAGGCAAAGCGTGGCCAAACCAAAGGCTTTCTTTTGGAAAAAAAACACTGGAAGTGGCAGTTGGCTTCTTGGGAGGCCTGACGTTCACAGGGCGCATGAGGGGGGAGCATTCGCAACATGTTCCGCGCTAATTGGCACATGTTATCATACCCAAGCCTTGGGTAACAATGGCCCACTGTGTTGCAAGCCCATGGTTGAAACCTATTGTGTGTTAATATGCGGTATCAAAAAAAGTTGAAGCCATAGCTGTGGATGGTTGCAACATGCCGCCCCAACGACTGATTCTGCAGCTCGTCTGATTTCCCGGCTAGGGTGGACATGATGGGAAGAACTTTGGAGGTTTGGCGTATGCGGTCAGCCACTTGCAATGCAAGGTCAACCCCACTTGTGGGGACTTATACGTGCGTATATCCTAGGTTGCCAACAACTTACCAACTTGGCCGAACGTGTTGTCTTGACCGAACCTCTGTTTGGTTGATTTCAGAGGAAAACCAAAAGGAACACGTCTTTTTCTTTTGTGCTTCGAGTTTCCAGGTGTCTGAAGTTAATCCTTGAATAGGTTGGATGCCGTGGTTTTGATTAATTGGAAACCCGGAAGAAAGCAACCGATTCCAAGGGTGGCGTGTTTATACGATTTGGATCGCGTCGCATTCCGATGCCCAAGTTGTCCAGCGAATTTCACTAGGTTAACTTCCGGGATGCTGACTTCTGGGTTTCTTCAAAACATCTACCCCTGCCCCAAGCCTCCCCCCCAGGTCTTTCCTCCCCCAACCACTGTGTGCTTGGTTGCCGCTGTGCAACAAATGAGGTCTGGATGTAAAGCGTCTAGCAGCTTTGTTGGTGACATGTCGGTTTTCCGTTTGGTTGGTTTCCAGTTGGTTAGTTCCGCTTCACCAAAAGCTCCCTTTGCTTGAGACAAGTGGAAACGAATTTCTTCTAGGAAACCACCCAAGAAGTGGTTGGTGGGTAAATGAATCCCCAAATGAAGTCCGCGAAAGGGTCCAGGACCCACTCATGTTGCTGCCGGATTAATAAAGCTGTTCTACTAGTAGGGAGTATTCCCGTCTTCCCCTCCAAAAGTGATGATTCCCCACTAAACCCAACACCCTCTATTGATAAACTCAGGTTGATTCATCAGGGTTTCCCAGTAGCTCACTTCCTGCTTCTTGAGTGGACGGGCCAAAAAAAAGCTGAACTTGTTAATTTACCACTACAATGGTCCAAACCCAAGAAGTGACTCAAGTCCACGAACTCAGGGGGTTGAGGCAAAAGTCATAGCCATGTCTGGGCCAAAATGAAACCACGGGACCGCAGGTTTTGGTCCATGTTTCCATTTACAAGGATTCCATTTTGGGTACATGTTTTTGACCCACAGCCATGTCTCCCCGCGGTTCGCTTCGCCCCCCGGCAAGCCGCTCCTTGCAGAAGCCGCGACTGCTGAACTCCGAGTAATCGCTGAGGTCTGGCCCCTGGCAAACGAGAGACAAACCGACGGGCCTGTGGCAACCTATGGTTCGTGATAGGCGAAACAAACACCCAGGAAACCCGCATTTTGAAAGTTGATAGTTGGTTATACATGTGGTTTTTATCCCGGCGAAATGGGGTTTACAGGGTTTGTATATCCCCACTTGTTGACAGAAAGAGGCCGCCAAGTAGGGCAATTCTTTGGCGGAATCCTTTGGATCAACACAGAAGATCCCCGTGATCACAGGAAAGATTGAATCCTTTAGGCTGTTCAAAATAGATGACCAATCCGATTCTCCTACGTCCCTGGGAAAGTGAAACGAAACAACATCACACACACACACATGATCGTTGTGCAATCTTGCCTGGAATTACGACCCCAGCCTGGTTAGTGGAAAACGAACTGAACCTCAAAAAAGCATTGGCACAAAATGGCACTTCTTTTCGGTTGGATTTTGCAGGGGTCCACCCCCCGGCCAAAAAAAACGCGAAACCAAGGTAGCGACCTCAAGATCACAGGTCTTTTCCGGACCTCAGAACAATGCATGACAGAGGAGCCGAAGAGGGGACCCGTACCGGCTCAGTATTAGCTCCAAGATGTCTGGAGGGATCATTTGAGTACGTTTCAACATAGTGGGGCCCCAACATATGGCGTTTCGTTCACATTCCCTTTCAGCCAGCCGGGCGCCCTCAACGTGCTTGTAGGCTTGAAAGGACCCCTGGGGGCTTGGAATTGGAATTTGTGGCCAGTTGTTTAACTCAGCCCTGCGAATAACACCCAGCAGTCCTTCCTGCCCTGGAACCTCTTAGAGTGGCCGCTAGAGTTGCATTTGACCTCGGCCCATGAGTTGCTGGACCGCATCTGAAACAATATTTGTTGTTCCGTCAGAACGGCACACAGGGAAGCAGGTAAGCTAAGTCTGGCAATGTGGATGGGCAAAATCCTGCACCAGGTAAGTGGTTTGTTCCAGTATTCATGGGGTTTCATCCACTTGTATTTCGCCGGTCCACGGTATTGAATTGACTCTGCCGGGTCCCTTGACTCTGGAACACAAGGTGTGAATGGGCAAGGCCAACCTTTTCAGCACCCTCCTGCACCATGGAGCAGCTGTCCCACACCCAACCCAGCCCTTCCAAAGCACGTGCTAAACCAGGGTTTTCACACAAAGACCCCGCGTTAGGACCCCAATTCACTTCTGCGCGCATTTTCTCTTGTCCCATCTACAACCTGCATTGTCGAAAGCACGCAACCAAAATTGCAGCCACACCTTTCCGAAAACGAGCTCTCGCAAAGCGAGGGGTTTTTCAAGTGCATTCACAGGCTTTTCACGGTTTATTCACGGGCTTTTCACGGTCGTTTCATGTTGTGTTCACGCTACGCTTGGTTGAAGAAAACTATCGGGACCCTGCCAGCGATCTGAACACAGCAAACCACTGGTAAAACCAGGTCGTTTGCAAGACCAAGTTAAGCGAGGTCGAGGAAGTCCTGGGCAAATAGCAGGCACCGTTTGAGCTAACAACCAACCTTCAACTAGCCATGCAGCTGGGGGGGTGTACAAAATTACTTTGCCCGCGGACGCCCCAATCGCCGGCCAATCGCGATCCAATCGCGATCCCACGCGGTCCAATCGCGGAGCAACGTTGGTCATCGCTGCTGCTTCTGTTTCGCTTTTCGTTGTCTTATCTCATGCGCTGGCCTTCCTCCATCCGTACCTGAAAGAAGTAACATAGTTCGGATGGGCAGGGGCTCACTGGTGAAACTCGTCCAATCGCCATCCAACCGCGGTCCAATCGCAGAATTCGGCGGTGAAACTTAGCTTCCAGGTTCCAGCCTTTGCCAGTAAGCAGATTTAGAAACCACAGCCTGGGCCTGCAGCAACATTCTGCTTTCCATCAGGAGCTTTTGTGCGAGCCCGTGCAGTCAGAATGAGCGAGACGTGCGTCGGCACCACAATCTAAACACCGTGCAGCGTCTAAATTCAGATTAATTTCGTTGCCCTTTCGCGGTCCAATCGCCGGCCTGTCGCGGCTTCAGTTTTCCCAATCGCGCGGTTCAACAAGTTGCTGCTGTTCATAAGTGTTAGACATGCAATTTTTCGGACGGCCCCCAACTGAAATGTCAGGACCTTGGTGCTCTTGTTGCCGTAGCCCTTGTTGGCGTCAGGCTGTTCCAAGTCATGTCACGGGCCGCTGCAACGTGCGAGGTTTACTCGCCAAGGTTGGGCCTCGGGTTCCCTGATGCGTTCCTAATTATACGCATGTAAAGATCCGCGAAAAGGCGCGATGGGATGAGAGTCCCCGCAAACTGCTCAGCACTCGGTCGAAGTGGACAGATCCTCTGGCGGACGAGTTCGAAGAGCATTCACGTCCAGCTGGTAATAGCGAAGCCTTGCTTGTGGATGTTTGACTGCCACATCAGACCCGAATCCACCGGCACCGGTCATTGGTGCTCTCCGGCGTGTCAAGCTTGCTTGACCTTCCCAGTCAACCCCATGAACCCCACCCCGGAATCCTTGGCCATGGGAAAAAGACAATGGATCCTGTTGCGTTTGATCAGTTTGAGCAGGGAGCCGCCTTGGCGGCTTCGGTTCTCGAGCTTCCATGACATGCCGTAGAAACAGTGACTGGGGAATGAAGGGTTACCTACGTAACACGCGCTATTGAATATACAGGGACGATCTGACACATTTTGACGAGTTACAGGTGCTACCCTGGCCCCAGCGCCACTCTAGCGGTCACTATGCAGCTTGAACAAGCATGAGCCCTGGAACCTTTTCCGAGCCGGGCACAACGATGCAGTGAAATGGTTGTTCAGCAAGCACGAATCGCTTATGATCACGTTTGGTACCCTGTGTCCAATCATAAAGGTGGAAGAATTGCCTTTTCAGGATGTCGGTGCCTTCTCAAATGCTCCCGCTACATTTTATGTCTTGGACAAAGGCAAGCGGAACAACATAAAAAGGCCGATTGGGACTGTGCGGCTGCCCAAAACACGGACCAGTGCCTGAAGCTCTCCAACATTCGCACAACAAGGCCAGCCATCAAGGACCCCAATGGTCAAGTGAGCCATAATCAAAACCCCGACCCAGAACCATGCAAAGAATTAAGAAGCCGGAGATCCGCAGCTATTCATGGCAAGGGGATTGTCCCTTACTAACCTTCATCTACCGACTTTTTGACTGTGGCTCAAGTGAAGCTTTCTTCATAGACCTGGTCCCCTACCGCTTCAGCCTTCAGCACTCCCCCGAACACGGCCACCCTTCCCCGGCTCCTGCCTTTTCCAGCGACTGGGTCATGGAGCCGCCCAGCTCGAGCAACGCGCCTGGACCGCAAAGAACCCAAACTAGGTTCTCAATTTCCCAACGGACTCAGACATAGAAGGTTGACCAGAAATGAAGGGTCCGAACACTTTTGGTTCACCAACATTTGTTCAAAGAACCCGGAAAGAAACGTTGAGCTCTGTGGAACCACCCAAAAAGCTCGAGAAAAACAGGTTGAAAGCTCGGGTGTTAGACTGACCGCAGTGCAGCTGATTCATGCCAAACTTTTCTCTGGCAGCAAACCACCCCGAGGCTCCTGTTATTTTTGGCCCCATGAAACACACTTCACAATGCACTCGACAGCCGTTGGGGGAGGGGGGTTCTGGTACCTACCCCCACATAACGCCACACCCCCGCACATACCCTTCACATGAGTGTGTCTTCTTTTATCATGTTGGTTTCCCTTGCCAAACCACAAACGAGGAGTACCCAACAAACACCATTCCCACACACACACACCACACATACCTGCCACAGAACCCCCGTCAAGCACCCACCCCCGATTCGCAGCCTGAAGGAGAAGGAGTCAGTAGGCCCCGTAGCGAGGCGCAGGCCGCCTGGAGATTTCGTCAGGTCGGTTGCTTTCCGTTCACCCCGAAATCTCCGAATGGGAGATACCGTGGATGGACGAAATCCTGTACAACTTGAAAGCAATGGGAAACGGTTGGTATTTATACGGGAAGGAGGATTCCAGGGTTTCACAGGTGGTGGGTCACAGTGCCTTCTCATTTGCTTGAGAAGGCCCGCTTGTCTGGGGGAGAAAAGAACCGTTCAGAAAACGCGTATCCAGAGTCCCGAATCTACTGCACAGTTTGATACAGATAAGTCAACATGAGCACAACCAACATCTGTCTGAAAGACGCAGAAATGCCATGGCCTCAGCATGTTTCGAACCGATGTGAAGGGAACACCCACAGGAGTGGTGGTTTTCTTTTTTTCTTTTTGGCCGCGCCTGCAGTCTGCTCTGCGCGCCAGTCTTCGTAGCGGAGACCTGGCCACAAGCTTGGCCAACCTCGATCCCTGGGAGAGGGAGTGGAAAAGTGACGGGGGATTGGCCCGAAAACTGTCGACCCTGGGAATGGGGAGGGTCCGAAAGGTTTAGGGTTTAGGGTATAGGGTATGCAATTGGATCAAAGGGCATAGACAAGACCTGGGCCGAAAGCGCTGCTGACTAGCTGCCTGGCCCCGTAGTGGCGCGCCGCCGCGCCACACCAAAAATAGGCACACAAAACCGCTTGGGTTGGCAATTGACCAGCCCATCTTTTCTGGGTTGCGCCGCCAAAAACAAGGGAACCAGAATACCCCGTCAAGCACTTCAGCTATTAGCTATGTTTCTTGTTGTCTGGGACACATGTCGCTACGCGGAGCATGACTGGCTATGCGGCGGCCACGCGATGAGCATGTTGGATGGGGTGCTGTGCCACAGGAGCGATTTGTCAGACAAAAGCTGTATGCAAAGTGCTTCACAGCTTGGGCTTTTAGCATCAGCAACTGCTGCAGCAGCAGCAGTTTGCAAATGGAACTGGAGGCAGGCACGTGAGCAAATGGACACAGACCTTGGTTTCGGGGCCATGCAGGGTGCTTGCCAGGCTTGCCATGCCCAACCCGGACTGGAAGTCTGGGCAGGAATGCTTACTGCGCGAGATGCTTCTGGTTTTAACGTAGCCCTGAAAAACGAAGGGGCTTCGAGGGGCTGCGCAACTGATGCAGACTTGCCTATGCCAGAGGTTCTTTCCTGCTTTTACACTGCGTTTTACCAAAGAAAAACATGGTTCTCACTGGTGGATTCGTGCTGATTGCATCTGATTGCACATGCTTTCCTCTCTTTTTTTGGTAGGACTACACCGAGGAACTGGGCCAAGATCATTCTCCCTTTGTTCCCCGGATGCCCGAGCCTCACTCAAAGCATCTGCAAGATGCTGCCAGGTGCTGGGGTGGTGGGACATCATCTCCACCTGACATCGGCTGAGTTGATCCCTGGCGCTCTGCAAAAAGGGACACCAAGTGAAACCCACAGTTTTGGAAGTGAAAGAAAGATATTCTGTCCCACCCACGATGATTCACACTGGAGATACCAAGCATCGGGGACATGTTCTGCAACAAGCTCGCCCCCAAACTTCATCTACCCCTCCAGTGAGGGCCATTGAAAAACAGGTCTATCGTTCCACCAACAATGCTGCGAACCAGAACCGTTTGGTGCAGAAACCAACCGCTTTGGGCTTGTCGTCTTCCAAAAGGGGTCAGATTGTACATTTCTGTTGGTAAGCAGCAAAAACAATAATATGCTTTGGGGCGCAGACCATGAAGAGGCCAACCAGATGCTTTCAAGCGTGCTAACTGTATGGGTAAGGACTTGGAATCCAGCCTGTGATACCAATAGGGAAATACCCTCCAGATATCCTCCAACCGTAAAATCTATGTTGGTGAGAACCTCCCAGAATGCGCGGTATCCCTTACGACAAGAAGGTCTGTGCATGCAGATGGCAAAGCCGCGGTTGCCTTCTGCCTCCCAAACACCATCCACAAAGGCAACCCTTCAGGACAGAACGATCCGGCTTGCCAATGACTCAATTTTCTTTTAAGTAGTGGACCTTAAGGGTCAATCTTCAATTTCAGTAGCACTGACCCTTTCTCTCAACAGATTGAGTGTTGCTGCCAAGTGCAAAACAGCTTCTTCACGTCCTCCAAAATGCAGGTGGAATCTGCTCATGCGGCACCTCCCTCCCACAGGCCGTGAGCATGCGGGCACATCCAGTATGGCGCCGGGCGCAATGGCCCTGCGCAGTCCTCCATGTTTTCCTCAACGCAAAGCCAGCTGCGAGGACAGCAGCTTTCATGTGAGGCGTGCTTGCAAGGCGTCAACGTCGGATGGACGTAGATATATGGCAAGTGGCGGCCGCATCGGTGCTAGGTCCTCCAGTATACGCAGCATAGAGGTTAGAATAAGGGTACTCTTTTTTCTGTAGTCTATTTTAGTAGGGGAACCCTCCCCCCAAAAAGGGTAAAAGGGCACTTATAGGGTGTATACTCTACCCATCGTTGGCCCAGCGCCTCTTCATGAACTGCATCCAACGCAGAGCAAGAAGACACTCTGCTGTAGAGGGCACGGGAAATGGCACGCGAACAACCACCACGGATTCTAGCCGCCCCGAGGCCAAACAGAGAGAGGGAGACCATGGGTCGGTCAAGCAGAAAGTGCCAAGAGTGTGCTCGAGAAGTGGGTATATTTACCTGACCATTCCTGAATCTGGCGATACAATGGTGAGCATACGCCACTGACAAACGTCTTCAGGCAACCAAGAAAATCCACTGATACTGCGTACAGAAACAAGTAGAATCTAGGCCAAACTGGCCAAACTAAATATTAATGGCTGTGCAAGCAAATCTGGGGGCCCTGTTGACCATGGCACATATGGGAGTTGTTTTTTTGAGGAACCGTGTTTTTGGGGTTGCTTTACCAGGAAACCAAAAGGAAACCTCTATTTTCAGCGGGATTGCTCTTCCTTGGCGGTTCCCAGCCGTCCGGTTCCTTAGGTTTTTACTTGCTTTTAGTCGGTTCGGTAGTAGCTTCCGCCAAACCCCTCCCCGGAGTCCACGCCATCAAAGGCATTCTAGTCTGCTTGATGTATGTGCTTGTCTTAAAACAGGGCACCCTCAAAAAGTTGGGTGTCCCCTTGGGTTTCCCACAAAAAACAGACCCATGTATTGAACACCCGCGCATTTCAGGCATGACTTGTCGGATCTGGCAACGGACTCTAGCGGATTCAAATTGAATCAACCCTCCACAAGCCGTCATTGAAAAGCGGTCCTATCAGATCTTGCGATAGCAACTTGGAGACTGTGCCCAAGGTCATCATCCTTGATCTATGGCTAAGTCCTGGCCGTTGCCATGTTCCATAGACACACCTTGTGTCATGGTCATGGCTCTTTTCGTAAGGAATTCATGTGGCCATGGGTCAAAACCCAGCCCCTAGTGAACATCCCAATCCCCACCAACATGGGTGGTGCACCTACCCCAAAATGGTACCATTGGTTTTGAAAAAAGCCATGTTGCCTGCATTCCCCAAATCATGGAGGGCTCAATAAGGTCAATGACTATCTCCTATCCAAGGCTATCCAAGGCTCTGTGAACAGAATCCTTCGCGTTTCTCGGCCTGTGGCCACCGCCACGTGTCACATCCGGAACCCGCAACCCGCAACCCGCCTCTGGCTGGGTCAAGCTCATCTTGCAAGGAGCGAGGTTGAGGTTCACCATTGCCACAGTGGTGTCAATGATGTCGTTCGCCTGTTTAGACCGCAAGTATGGAGAAACAGCAAACTATTGATGGAAATGATCAGCACATAACCCTCGAGGTATCGTACAAAACCCAAAGTACCAGAGGTAGATACTACCAGCTCTTTCCTTGTGTGGCTCCATGCATCAGGAGTCCATGAAAGAAATGATACTTGAACATTGGGTTGTCCTGATTGGATAAATTCTCTTTCTCGAATATGTTTCAATTTCAATACACCCTTTGGTAGACATCCTTTCGGTGGGGATGCATGGATTCCAAGAGATATTCACTTCAGAGGTCCATATTGCAATTCACAGCTCATGTGCTAAAACTGAGCGCCTTCAGTCAATGAAGTTGAGGTTGCAAGCTGGAAGATTCGTGGGCTTGAGACCACAAACATGGTATCTGGGAAAGTGGCCAATTTCCGAGGTTCCACAATTGGACAACCACGACCAACTCCTGTAACCACCAATTCTAATTGGCTGGTACATTGGAAACCTGTATTTTCCTCGTTTGCTCGTTTGCAAGGGTCTCTTGCTCGTTTGCTCGTTTCAAAACAAAAAGAAAAACAAAAACAAACACAGCCGTCGAATCCAGAACCCCACTTGGAAAACCTGCAGCTTCCCAAGGCTGCACATGCTCAATCCGCATGGCCTCCAGAAGGCTGAAGAGGCACCGCATGTCCTCAGACGGATCCAAATCATTTACGCCTCGAATGGAATCGGATGAACAAACCTTGATCCATGGGCGGTCCCCCTTTGGGTTCAAATCACAGGGTAACCAAACATAATATTCGAGGTGTCCGAAATCTCCTGGACCGGGAGACAGGACGAGGCCTCATGAAATTGGAATGAGCCCTTACGGATGGTTTCGTGGCACAGATGCAAACCACATCACCATCTTGGAGTCTGGAAAACCACCATCTTGGGGTGCCCCAAGCGCAAAGGGATTCAGGAATGCCCGTAGGGAAACCAGCCAAGAGAGGTACCTTCGCAGCCGCGATTTGGGTGTGGCTCAAAATTACACAACCGGGGTTACGCGGGTTTTTAGTCTTTGGTTCCATTTGCCAAGGTGTCATTTTGGTACATGTGTTTGACCCACAGCCATTTGACCATGCTCCGAACCACTTGGGAGCCCATGGGGCGACCGAATGACTCATTGTGAAAGGCGGAACGGACTATGGGTTGTCTCACGGCGCTTGGGCCGACGAAACTGCAAAAGAAACTTTTGACCCACAGCCATTTCTTTGCCGAAGCACCGTGCCGCTGTAGCTGGCCATGGAGACGTTGCTGGAAGTCTGGCAGTTCATCTCCGGCGCGCTGGGCAGAGCCTGACACCAGCGACATCTGGGTGGCAAGTAGGGAGTCGGGAAAAAGCAAAGGAAACACATTATATGGCCATGGGTCAACATCCAAATCATACCCCCAGTGAACATCCTAATCCCCACTAAAATAGACGAAAATGGGTGGTGCACCTACCCCAAAATGTGCTCCCATTGGCCTTGACCAACAGCCATATGGGAAAAAGCAGGAACTACCCATCTGGGTGTCTTGTTTTTGAGGGTGCCTTTGTGAATTGGTGTTAAAGGGAAACCAAAAGGACATCAACCATTTTGGGGGTACCGGCATTTGGATACATACCCATCTCTACAAACACGGAAGTTGACGTTTTGTGCTTCCCCAAAAGGAAAGTATCCATGCTTTTTCACGCTTCAGCCAGTAGCCATGCCAACACCTCCAAAGCAGGGTCTGTTTCAATGGGGGAATCCCAAAGTGGTTTGTTGTCTCTTCAGTTTCCAGCAAATGACAATGGATCCCACCAAAGACACTCAAGTAGGTCTACGAAATCTAAGGGGACTTATGTCAATGGGTTTTGGGCGCGCTTTGCAAATGCTGAAAGTTCCAATTCTCGAGCTCCTGTTTTACTTCAGCTGGTGAAGCATTTAGTTCACCTAGACATGTGCTTTGTTTTCCCAGATTGCGAAACCAAGAGGATATGGCTACCCTTTTCCAATCATGGAAGCTGACGCTCGGAGGGGACCCTTTACAACCGAACCACCCAATGTCCTCGCACTGTGGTTTTTTCACCTCCAATTTTTTAAGTCGGTGGGTTGGTGGACAACCCCCACCTAAATGATGTCCATAGGAAAATCAAACTCATACCTTTCACAAGGGACAGTTTCTGATCCCCTCCGACGGTCCGGATTGGCGTGAAGCTGGCAGCAGCTAGCCGACAGAAACCAATGTATAGCGGCGGCAAGCACCGCAATGAGTGAGCGCGGTGTACCCCCATCAGTGTGCTCGTTTGCTCACACCCGTGTGTGGCATGGTCCTGACTATTTACAGGAACAAAAACGAAAAGAAAATTGTTGCCCTGTATTGCGGGGGTCCAATCTCCAAATAAAAGACATACCCAGGTGGCTCAAAGGGAAGCCACCTCCTAAGAAAGAAATCGTTGCCAAGTGATCTCTGCGTGTGTGTAGTGTGTGTGTGTGTGTGCTTCTTTTTTTTTTGGGGGGGGGGCCTAAACACATAGGACATGGTTGCCATGTGACTGATTTGGTTTTTGTTTTGATGCTTGTGTGTATGTTTTGTTGTTTGTTCTTTTTTTTTCTGGGGGGGGGGTACAATACACACACACACACACCCGCATACAACCCTTCGCCCCTATGCCAACGAGTCTGCCTGCGCGAATTCCTTGAGCTTGGCCGGCTCGGTGCTCTTGAGCACCCGCAGCGCCATGTGTCGGAAGCTGGATTCCTCGGAAGTCGTCGCATGCGCCAAATGAAATCCACGGGTTTGCGTCCAACAGAACCTCCCCCAAAAAACAGATTAACAATAATACTAGACATATATATATATATATATATATGCATATACATAATATATATATATATATATTATACACAGCTATTGTGTTAGTGTATGGTTCGTTTTCGGCTGGCTTCCCTTGACACTCAAATGATTTCAAGCCAACGGCCAGTACGGAGCTCGAGGGGGGGGGAGGGGCCGTGGATACTTCTAACACCTATTTGGGACTTGGCCCCAAAGACACATGATACCGAAAGGAGGTGCGCATCCCAAGCAACCATGTTGAGGCAAGCTCTAATCCATATCCAGTTGCCTGCTTCATGAATATTGCTTCGCAAGGAAAACATTCCTTGTGAATCACGAAGGGGATTATCAGGGGTGGGTTCAACATGTACGTTGAGTCGGAGTTGGGCTTCAACGTTGGTCAGATCTAGCGAGACTGGCAAAATACCTGGGAGGATGGCCCAAGACAGACCACAACTTTCATTTTGCTTAAGTCGTCTGGAAAAGCACATTTCCAGTACTAGTTTTGAAGCCAACAGTGCTTTGGTAAAATCAAAAAATCAGCAGATGGAAGGAAGAAGAAGCAGATGCCAAAATCACCCGGCAGTGCCGTTTGTCCGGCAGTTGTCGTCCAACTTGATACCTGACCTCGGGGGTGTCACAGAGATCCCAGGGACTCCTGTGGAGTCACGGCCCGCAGAACGCACAAACAAAAGGGACTCCATGTTGACTTTGGATTCCGGCGGACCTGCCAGAACCCCCAAAAGTATACTTACATCATTTGTCAGGGGAGCCCACCGTTGGTTGGTTCGGTCCGGGTGAATCTGAGGTTCACCGATATCAATTTGAACAAGTTGCCAGCACGTGTGCGATGGGTTTCTATCACTTTCTGCCACGAGAATGCGGCGATATCAGTTTTACATGTCTGGATTGAATTCTGGCTATGAGTGAGTCAGTTTTGTTGTTTTCGGAGACAAACACAGACGATCCGACGGGAACATCGTGCCGGGTGTCCTGTTCCGTGAGCCAAGGTCAGCGAAGGGCACAGCGAGTTGGTTCCAAAGAAAATGGGTGTCTCTTGTTTAGCCCAAGAAATGGGTCCATAAATTTTGAGACGCCTGCAAATGTGAAAGCTGCGATTTGAACAAAAGTGCATTGAAGGACTATGGAAGAACCTATGTCAAGCTGTACATGTCGACGGCATTTGGCCGAAACGGACACAAGGCGCAGGAAAGACTCCGACATATTTGCAGGGTGACCTAAACTTGCAGCCCTGTTTAGCATTTTGAGGATACAACATCTGGAGTTGTTTGAAAGGGCACAAAAAAGGAACCTGGCCGTTCTTTTGGGGGGCGGCTCTATGTTAAGACACCCTCTGGGAATGAATCCCCTCATCAATCTTTTACACCCCCTGAACAAAGTGCAAACAAATCGCCTTCAGCGCCTGCCGAGAAACCCACGCCCAGCTTCTGACTTCACTACCCCTGGTTCTACAAAGACTACCTAGGTCCTCCAGTAGAGAGGCTGGAACAAATGTACCCGTTTTTTTTTGTAGTCTATTTTAGTAAGGGAACCCTGCCCCAAAAAAGAAACGGTAGAGAAGGGGCACCAATTGCTGGGGGACGTACACGGAAAGCCCAAGGCGCCAAGAGGTTGCGCATGGTGCGGCCGTTGCCGTTGGACCTTGGGGCCGTTTGGACGGGAAACCTCACGCCTTTGGACGGTGGCGGCAACCAAAAACTCGGGGAAAGTGGAAGCTCCTTAAATGGGTTCTGAAGGGACAGCAACGGGAAAAACCCACTCGACTTTTTAGTGGGCCACCTAAAACACATCACCCAATGCCCGCCGAACTTGCAGAGCGCCAAGGGATCCAAAGGCAAAGCACTCCGCGAGCTGAGTCTTGGAACATTGGCCCAGCTGCCTTGTCTTGGCCGAATGCTTTGGTTATCAATGGGGTGTATAAACCGCCGGAAGGGGGAAACACAAAAACCAGGTTCTGCACAAAATGGAAGAGAATCGTCATTGAAGTACAATCTCCCCTTCACCCAGTCAACCGCTTGCCAACTCTAATCTGCAGCCAAGGCTCCGATCATTCTTGGCCTCGTGTTCAGGCAGGGGAAACACGGCAAATCGAAAAGGGAAAATGCAACTTGGCCCTATTGGCTTCCACAGAAACTACAAATACCACGATGAAACCTGGAACAACATCATCAACAAGTGACTCAACAAGTGACTCTTCATGGTGCAATTGAGTAAGCCATGATTGCCGCTACTCTATAGTCAATTCATATCATTGGCATGAAACATATGGGTGAGTGTCGAAATTGGGGGACCCCCTCCCCACAAAAAAAAGAAGCAACATAATTGGTGGTGTACCTTTTGGTCGCCCTTGCAATGACCCAAAGATGAGGTCTTAACAAAAAAAAAAAACAAACATCCCATATATGTTCACTCCTTATCCAGGCCTAGCAGTTGAAGGATTCAATCCGCACAAGACACGTGATAACGTGATGGGGAATTCGGCACACTTAACTTGCTGCTGCAATAGGTAGGACCAGCCAGTTGAACTGCCAACAGGTTTTTCAGAGGCGAAATTTCAGTGTGCGAAGCATGTCAGGGTTTAATTCGACGAACCCGTTTTCTACTTGAAATGGTAGCTTCCAGTCCTGAATTATCTATCATCCAACACATCCGTTGGGGCGTGGTTACCTATACCAAAAAACACTTGTTGACTGCTTGGATGTTCCTGATTCCCTGCTCAGCAGAGTGGCTCACTATTCCAACCAGGGCAGGGACTTGAAGCCTTTTAACCGCTGAGTTGAAAGGCTGTGGTTTTCTTCAGCAGAATCCTTCCAAGTCGACAAGAGACATGCTGTCCCATCCAAAAGTGGTGCCTTTCGGCTCCCTCAAGCGGCCAGTGCTTTTCGTCGGTGGTTTTGAAAAGGCTCGATTTCCCATGTAGCGACCCCCAAAAAACTGCTCACCGACCTCAAGACACCAAGACATGGCCGCTAGCGACATGGGCTTGATCTTAAAGGTATACAAAGCTTCCCCTCTGCCAAACACGTAGCCAGAAAGTGTAAGTCTAGCTGCCTTCTTGGTATGGAACCGGCCGCTGAATTCCACTGGATTTAGCGTTGCTGTTCATGTACCAGTGAAAGAGATGAGGTAAATGGAGTCCAAAATTCCAATTTTGAAGTCCACTTGCCACTAAAAAACACACTTTGAAGTCCAGTTGGGTGTGTCTTCTTTTGTTTTGCGGCGGGACTGGTTTTCCTTTTGGCCTCCGTTTGAACCATAAACAAAAGGGTACCCCGGAGAAAAAAACAACTTTGACCAGTATTCCGAAAAAAATAAAATAGAATAAATCAGCAGGTCCCGTCCGCCCTCTGTGGCGGTCAAGCAGCGACGCATCGAGACGCATCCTCCTCATCACAGCAGCCAGTGCTCCTTACAGCACGTGAACACAACAGGACACAAATATCCTTCCCTCCAATGGGCGGTTTGGAACATTGGTTTGGAGGTTCTGGGTGGTTTCCCATACCCTCTTCAATAGCCAGGGGTTCGAATCCCCAAACCACCAATCCAAATCCCAACCAACTGAGGGCACCCTGAATAAACAAAGCTGGATGGCTCAACCCCTGCAAAAATAATGGTAATAGTAAGAATAATAATAATAATAAACTTCTGCTCAGCTTCCTTGGAGCCCGGTGGTTAATTTATGGGTGTTGCGGGGTGGTTCTAGTTATGGAACAGTCAAATTTCCCCAGTTAAAAACCTCCAACCAAATGAGGGACGGTGTAATTTGAGAGAGATGAAAACAAACACACCGCATCATGTTGTTCAGGCCCATCCTCTTTGTGCAGAATCAAATCTAGGTTGTTTCTTACCCATCTCTGACTCACTTACCTGGTAGGCTGTTCAACCAGTTCTGGCACATGCCAAAGCCCTCCCCAGACCTCCCAGACCTCCAGAACCATGCAAAACGTAACAGCCGAGGCAATCAAGCATTCTGACCCAAGTCAGGAAAGGATTCTGCCCCCCAAAGGGACTCATGAAGGGCAGGTCCCTTCATGACGCCCTGTAACCAGGTCAGTGACAAGTGGAATTGGCAGATCCCTTTGTCTCGAAACACTCCACAAAGTAACAACTGTTGGTCTTTGGTTTCCATTGAGGAAACGGCCCCAACGAGGGAAAAGAGCATCAACTCTAAGAATCATGCACCCACATAGGCTGGTTCAGTGAATCCTGAAATAGAACAACATATCCAAAGGCACCAGCAACGGGCAAACCCAAACTGACATATACCATACTAAACAAATATACACTCGATAAATACTTATGCATGTGTATATATATATATGACATTCCCATGGGCGTGGAAATCACTCTTTCTGCTCTGCAAATGTGGGCCATTCCCATGACTTTATCACAACAGCAAGGGTTATTTTGCCCTAAAACCCTCTTCCCACAATCACGTGGGCTAGTTCGTCTGACTTCCCAAGTGGAGGGAAGCGGAGGACTACATCATGGATGAGCTCGTTTGAACCCTGAGTGACTCAGGCTTGCTCATGGTAATTGATCCAGTACTATGGCATGATCAAAATGAGTTATTTTTTGGTTTACTTCTACATGTTAAAACAATATGATTACGGCGTGCTGAGTGTGTTCTTATTCTTCTTTGTCTTCTTGTTATTATTATGTTCCTTTTTCATTTTTCTTTCCAGACCTTTAGGAACCATCTTGTCGTGTGTTTTTATGATTAGTCTAACTATTCATGCAATACACAGTTGATATGCTATACATGTATTGGTATGTAATCGCCATGCATAAGCAGTCTAAAAAAACATAAAGTTAGCTGCGCATCTTGTGTGGCGCATTTGCCCATGAAGCGACATTCGTTATTCCTGGTTATGATCCCCAGACGC